TGATTGCCAGACAGACGAAGATGGTAATGGTGTGGTTTTGTCGTTATCGCTCCATGGATTTTCAGGACGTGGAAGATGAGTTGACGTATGGATCCTATAAGAATAAGCTTATGTTTATATTGAATTTAAAGCAAGAAACTCTGCCTGCATGAATATAACGCCAAGTATTAAATCTTTAAGCTTTGGATCCCGATTGGCGAATGGAGTATATGGTATCATTTGATTCGTTGAATCTCTTATGGACATTACTCTGCAAAAAAATGATTATATATATAATATATATACATATGTATTCGATGTATCGTGCCATGCTATAGCGGAATCTTTTTCACATAAATAATACATATTATTAAGTGAATATTTATCGTAAAAGTATGTTTATACCTAACGTATTCGACCAACAGTTTTCAAATAAAACCGCCAAGTCTTTATCCTTCATATGCAACTTCATATTTTCGATAACATCTTCAATCACTGGACTAGTAAACCTACGACCCCAAATATTCTTTTTATTCTGTTTTCACTCGTCATATTATTTTTTCGTAATTAGCTCGAGTAGAATGAGAGGGGGATTTGATTGGCTGGCAATCACCATTATTTAATCAGATTACCATTACATGTACATGTATTAAAATGTGCGGTGTTACCCCCCGTTGCAAGATACCGTAATTTACCGTTTAGAATACCTCGGGTATGTTACATTTCACCAGCCAAAATCCGATTTGTATCCGGGGGAGTACATGTATACTGTACGGCACGAGGGTATATTATATGGGAATATTCTATATACAAATAGTTTCAGCCAGAACTAACCTATATTTGACCAGAATTACAAGGATGGTACGTTACATTCTACTCACTTTGTAAACCATGCATCGGACCAGGTACAATTCATGGAGGGTATTCTAAATGGCAATTTACGGTAGTACATGTATGGTGCATAACATCTAAAGACGTTTGTATTTGTACATGTAAAATGTATAAACTTCTTTACTAGAAAGTAAATACAAAATTTAATCCGTGAATATGCTCAGAAAGGGCCTATTCTAGCATATTCGCGGATTAAATTTTGTATTTACTTTCTAGTAAAGAAGTTTATACATTTTATAAAATACAAACGTTTGATGACTTTAAATGTTATGCACCATATAAACCATAATCGATACACATAGAAATGGATTACGTATCGGTATGGAGCTAGACATGTAATGCTTTATGATCGTGAACGTATCAATACAATTAACGTTATATTCACAAACGTCACAAATTTCAAAGATTCTTTGATGATTTTTTAGTAAGTATGAATGATATTTGGTCTACGTATTATTTTCCAGCCGGTTCAGGATTTGGGAATTTGCAAAATGAATCAATATTCAATTTAAAGGCAAGTCAATAGACTAGTATGAAGTTATTGTAAGTTTCAATTTTTATTGTTATTTTGGTTCTGATATTGATTTTGGCATTGTCACATTCTGGATAAAGCATCAGCATTGATATGTTTCTTTCTTTATATATAATTTGGGGTTAATTAAAAAAGTCATACAACAGTTGGCAGTAAGTGTATTGAATTCTTTAAATTGATGCTTGAATTTTGTCTCTCTCATACAAATAACAGTAGGATGGGATAATAAAATTATAATTTACAGAGGAACATCGAATTAACCTATCCATACCTGGATAAATGTAACAAAGAATTATTGTTAGTGGTCGGACTTCTCACAATGATCCATGGAAGCTCCGCGAACAAATGTGAAAGCAAGAAAATCATCTTCAAATCTAGATAGTGGCAGCAGCAAAGTAGAAGTGGCTAGGTACTGGGTTATTTTTTTTTACTTCAAATGGAAAAAACAATACGTAGTATATAATTCTTTGTCTGAGCCAGTGAAAAAAAGCAACATTTGGATTTGAGTTCGGTAAATGAGCTAGTTTTAATTTTGATGGTCGAGTATACAGTTTTATAATGTTACAATACCGATACGTACTTATTTCAATTACGTAGTACATGTATTTGTTTAGATTTTATTTTGATGATTTATAAAAATTGAATTAATTTTTACGAACATTTATGGAATACATATCGATAAATAAAATTGTTCAACAACGGTAAAACATTGTTTTTGTTCTATATTAAAAAAAATGTGTCTTGTCAGTGTAAAAGATGAGAATTCAGAAGATTAAAGCGAATAAAAATAGGTATTATAAGATTAATAAAAGTAAGAATTATAAGCAAGCGTAGCAGTTCATAAAGATTGAAATATATAGCATTGTTTCTTTACTATATTTGCTGATAACGTATCTTATCACAATTATATTCTTAATTATTTTCCACTTCTTTTAGTACGTTCCGCAATTTTTGCAATGATGCACTCTCTCCTCCCATACTATACGGAATAAACTCGACCATTTTCAAATTTTTCATTTGATTTATGGCATCAATTAACGGATGCACCATATTCTCATTGACTTTGTGATACGAAAGAATTTCCAATGATTCCAGTTGTTTGCATTCGGCCAATGCATCCCACGGACAGCATTTATCGAAATTCACATTATACAGCCGAAAGCGCTGTAACGTCTTTGCTTGCGATGCGAGAGATTGCATTAGTGGAGTTGCGTGGCCGTGGACGTAAGAAATTTCCAGTTGTTTTAGATGACATTGAGAGCTGATTAAGTGCGCGAGATTTTGTCGTGCTTTTTGTATCTTGTTTTTGTGGTCGCCGAGAGTCCATACGACAATTTTTTCCTTTTACAAATTTGAATCAGTATTTATTATCGTTAATTGAATTTGTCAACCAATCCTTAACATTAAGCACTTACTAAATTCTTGCATGTGTTAGCAATTTGCAAGAACAAAACTTCCTTTGGGAAATAATCGACCAACGTTACTGATTTCAAATTAGAAACCAACGACGAAAACTGTTGATTTACAATCAAATGACACAGTCTCCAATCCAGATTATTTTTTTGCATTTTAAAATTAATTGAATGAAGTGACACGCCATAATCTTTAAAAACTTCAAATACGACCGTCAACGCAAACCATAATGCAAGCGAATCTTGTTTTTCCTCTTTTTTATCAAATACACCGGATTTTCTTATAGAATTAATTAATTCTCCATACGCCAAATTTTTGATGAACGAAGGGTACGGGAAATACGGGTTTGGATTATTGACGGGTAACTTTATTCCCTGACTTAAAAGTAGACCTCGATTAAAAATTCTTGAAGTTGCACCACCTTCCGGAATTAATGTAAATAGCATGTGTATTATACTTTGACATTTCTCGTTTGGGCCGCTAAAAGGACGACGCCATATTAAAGGAATTGCTACTTTTGACCATTGTCTATTAACAAAAATACATTTATTCAAATCTCGTTGTGGAAGTTCACTGAATATTTCTTTGAGGATATCTGGAATTAACGGATGCTGTTGTTGTTTTTGTTGTTGTTTTTGTTGTTGCTCTTCTTCTTGTTGTTGTTGCTCTTGTTGTCGAAACAGTAATTGTCGCTTTATTTGCTTTCGGTTTTGTGGTGTTCTTAATATTTGTAGTAGTGTTTTATGTCGAATGTGATCCATGAGTTCTTTTTTTTTAATAGACGATAATATTAGTTTTATCATTATCCTTTTTTTGTACATGTACGTATGTGAATGGCTTCTTGTGAATCGACACACAGGAAAATACACATGTACGTCCTGTATATGCGAAGAATTTGGAGCACTGCCTATCTCCATCGCTATCGCTAAAGTAATCCACCAATGAATCGCTGAAACCGTGAATACAGATACTCTAGCCATGGCGGAAAAAGTTACGGGTCATGTGATATCCGGTATGTCCGGAAAAATTCTACGGTAATAGAGATTATTGTTAAAGGTTAATTTAAAGGTTAGGGTTAAGGTTAGATCTGTGATCAAAGTTATATATAAAATTGCCTTCCTGACGTTTTTTTGTTAGTCTATCAAACTAGATTTAGGCATCTGTTTCCCGTATTTTTTACATTTTTTGCTTTTTTCATTTTCTTGTGTCGGATTTGTTTTGCCGGGCTGATCAAAACGCATTCTTATTGGTGACACGTGACCCGTAACTTTTTTTTCGCCATGGCTAGGGTACTTGCGAATACTATTCAACGTCAATGTCGAAATCAAACATTCTCAATTGGTATTAATCAAAAACCTGTCCTTGTTAACGTTAATACCGATACTGTATAACGATAACGATAAAAACAAATTACGATAATTTTTATATTTTATTTTGGCATTACGTATTGAGGTTGAACATGCAAGTGCTAGGACAATTATACATGTATATCGATATACTATATATGGAAACATAAAACTGATTTTGGATCGTTATTTTTTTCTAACGCTAATGGCCAGTTTTACCAACCCAAATTTCAAATTGCCTAATTTGGGGTTTACCCCTGATATAAGCCACAAGCCACAAATCGATCTTAATTTGGAGTTCGTAGCGCTAGACTGGCAATGAGCGATATCGATATTATCAAACGAAAGCTAAATTCAACATATAATGCATCATTTTTTTTGCTAGTGTTGATTATGTACTTGTTATTGTACTTATAAATTTTACAATGATTATAAACATTTGCTGAAATAATTATTAGAAAACTAACATCGCGAATGAAACCAGTACACGACCACATAAGATTGGTGACAAAAGAAAGAAGTTGGGAACACGGCCGCGTAAAGCTAAATTCCCATCTTTTAGTAAAGATCGAATTAAACTTACTAACTTGCTAGCTAATAATGCGTCTAGCATAATTGCAGCTTGCCCAAGAATCAGCTTCGGTCAGAGCATGGAGTAGTCCAACGCATATGTAAAAATAAAGAGAAGACCAGTTCCCAACTTCTTTCGTTACCAATCTTTCTTTTATTACGCGGTCGTGTTCCGTTACGCGATCGCGTTACTAATCTTTCTTTCGTGCTCCCAACTTTTTTCTTTCGTTACCAATCTTTCTTTTGTCACGCGCGGCCGTGTTCCGTTACGCGGTCGTGTTACCAATTTTCTTTCGCGCTCAACTTCTTTCTTTTGTTACCAAACTTTCTTTTATTAAGCGGCCGTTTTCCCAACTTCTTTCTTTTGTTACCAATCTTACGTGGCCGTGCACTGGTTTCATTCGTTGCGCGATATTAATTTTTCTAATAATTGTAAAATTTAATAAGTACAATAACAAATATAATCAACTAGCAAAAAAAATAATGCATTATATGTTGATTCGCACCGAATTTAGCTTTCGTTTGACAATATCGCCCATTGCCGGTCGAGCGCTACGAACTGTCCCGCTTTCCCAAATTAGGAAATTTGAAATTTGGGTTGGTAAAACTGGTCAAAATTCACACCCACAAGATGCATGTACTGTATATCGTATTATTTTTATTATGCTAAAGCGAGCCCGTAACTTAAACTGATAGTAAATTTTTCATATGTTTCACAAAAGTTTATTATAGAGTCGACTGTATTATCGGCAGCTTCGAAGTACCTGTTCTTAATAAAATATAATAAAGTTATGTGTATTTTATTATAATGAAATTTTAATTATACTTCACTATAACGAACTTGATTATACAGAGGAAACTGTATTTCAAATAATAGAATTTGGTTGTATAAGAAAGAATTTAAACTTTGATACTGCTATATAATTCAATGGATGTTGCTTTTTGCTAATGACATCATGCTTAAAAGAACTCGCACTTTTTTTTTATCAAAGTAGGAAAACAAGAACAATAGTCAAAGCGCTGTCTCACATACGCCGTACCAGGAAAGGTCTACTGACCTGTTTTTTTCTCGCTCGATCACAAATTCGATAGTTTTTGTTAACTAAATTCGGAATCTCATTGCAGGCCCTGATCCAAAGCTAGTCAATGCAAATGTACACTCTTTTTGAACACAATACATGTATAATGTATCTGCAATATGCAAATGTATGGTTTTTTCCCTGTATAGCTGTGAGTGGCATATCATAATTTACGCTGAATTAATTTTTTCACCATAGACGCCACTTTTTCTAGTGAGTGGGATCCAAAGAACTTAACTGCACACCCGTTCATTTCTGCTGTAATTCAGGACTATCATCATTATGAATATATAAAAAGAGAGTAAAACGTTTCGCCGAATAACCAACAACTTTGATCCATCTAACAAGAGCAGAAACTCTAATTCTTCGAGATGAGTAATAATATGATCAAAGAAGATTTTGAATACAATGTCACAGGAATACAACGAGTACGACCGAGTCTTTTGGATCGTAAGTTCACTAGTCCGGTGATTGAAGATGTTATCGAGAGTATGAAGTTGCGTATGAAGGATAAAGACTTGGCGGTTTTATTTGAAAACTGTTGGTCAAATACGTTAGGTATTAATATAGATCTATGATTTTTTATGATAAAATGTTTCACTTATTAATAATTATTTTTTTATGAAGATTCCGCTATAGCATGGCACGGTAAATCGAATGCGTATCCCAGAACTTTTGTTGTCCCTGGAAACATTGGGTATGCTGCGACATAGATATGTCTACTTTTTATCAATATCATATACTCTAATCGCTTTATTTGCACAGAATAATGTTCATAAGAGATTCAACGAATCAAATGATACCATATACTCCATTCGCCAAACATGATCCAAAACTTAAAGATTTGATACTCGGCGTTATATTAATGCAGGCGGAGTTTCTTGCTTCGGTAATTATCTTATTTATGCAACATTATTTAAATTCAATATAAACATAAGCTTATCTTATTCTTATAGGATCCATACGCCAACTCATTTTATCCACCTCTGGACTCAAATCTTCCACGTCCTGAAAATCCATGGAGCGATAACGACAAAACCACACCATTACCATCTTCGTCTGTCTGGCAATCAAAATGGGGTGCAGATAATTTGGCCTTCTTTCTAAAATTAACATATCATTATTGGAAAAACACGAACGATACATCATTTCTTAAGAATGCTAATTGGTCTCAAGCCGCTGAGTTATCAGTGAAAGTTTTTACTGAGCAACGTCGTGCCACGATGGAAGAATTCGGTCATGAAGCGTATAAATTCACACGGAAAACAAGAACCGCTAGTGAGACTCTATTATTAAATGGAATAGGTAAGTTTATTATCAAACGACATTTTAATATTTGAATAAACTCTAGATTAATCATTTTTCTTTTTGTTTTTAAATGTTTAAGGTAGTCCTACACGAAGAACAGGTCTGTAATTTTACATTTACGTACTCCATATTGTAATAAAACACAAACATCCATTAATCGAGAAATCGTTCTATATTAGGACTCGTGAAATCTCAATTTCGTCCATCAGATGATGCTTCAGATTTTCCGTTCGTCATACCAACGAATGCAATGATTTCCGTTGAGTTACTACACTTGCATGAAATGCTACAATTACAAGATTCGGCGCTCGGAAATTACGCACTCAAATTATCACGTGAAATAAGAAACGCCATACTCGATTACGCAGTCGTCGAGCATCAACCATTAGGACGAGTGCTAGCATACGAAATCGACGGATACGGCTCGCATCATCTAATGGATGACGCAAACATACCAAGTCTATTAAGTCTGCCTTACATTGGTTTCCTTGATGTCCAAGATCAACTTTACCAGTCGACGCGGTCTTTGATTTGGTCGGATTGGAATAAATATTGGTTTGCGGGAAAAGTTAGTGGCGTTGGAAGTTTGCATACTGGACTCGGTTATATATGGCCGCTTGGGCTTTGTATGAATGTATATATCTGACAATTATTTTTTCCGTATTAACGTATACATGTATATAAGGTTTAAAATTAAACTTTCTTTTATTCCAGATATTAACCTCAACTCAAGACCAAGAAATACTAGAAAATCTTGATATACTCAAAAATATATCTTTAGAAACAGGACTAATAAGTCAAGCCGTTTGGTATAATGATCCAAAAATAGTGAGCCAGCCATGGTTTGCGTAAGTTATAATTTCATTACCGTTACTTCTTAACTCGCTTCGAAATTAAATAATTTCCCTTTTTCTCATTCTTTCTTTTCAGCTCGGCGAATTCGTTATTCGGAGAAGCCATACTTAGACTTGCCGAAGAGAAACCACATCTAATATTCGACATGAAAATAGAAAGCACTCCGAATTTCGGTCTTTCACAAATTCTCTTGGTGCTTGCTATATTCTTTATGCTGGCTTTCTGTTATATTAGATGTCTATGCTGTCGAAGAAGACGCAAACCGGTTCCTGAAGCGCATCCTCCTTCGGTTCCTAATGAAGAAGTCAGTTATCAACAAATAAATAATATTGAGCGGGTGTAATGAAAAAGGTATTATTATAGTTTAAAAGAACAATAATTATTAAAATTTATTAAAATACAATTTTTTTGGCATCAATATGTAAAGAGATTGTAAAGAGGTTAGAATATAGAAGATTCTTTTTCTTCAATTTTTATTATATTTCGAATAAAAATTTAGTTTATATTATAATAATTTAAAACTTTTGAAGTCAATCCTATAAAATCGAAATACTTACGTCAAATGATATATTTTCAAACGGCATCAGTCATTTGTAAATTTTATAATTCACATTCACTTGTTCATTTTGTAAATGATTATTATTGTAAAAAATAAGTGTTTCGATATACGTAAAAAAAGTATTCAGACCAAATCAGGAATCAGAAAAATTAGAAACTTTAAGTGCCATCATCCAATTTCATTGTACATTTTTTTTAATAAATGCACCTACGTATTTATAATTTTAATTTTAATTGTTCCAATAATTATTTGGCTGTTCAAATTCTTATTATATCACTATCTTCGAATATTAGATTATCCTAAATTTACCGTAAAGCGCTCTGTATAGTATCTCCCTTTGTAGAAAATTTCAAAAATTGGATTCACGTACTAAAAAGAATTTGACTAAGTTGTGGTTCAAATTTTCTAAAAAGGGGGATACTATACAGAACGCTTTACGGTACTTCATGAGTTGACCTAGTGCAGGTCATCTATAGACAACAATAAATTATAAACTCACACAGTCCTACAGCACCCGTTTCTCTAAAAATTAATTTCTCCATCTTAGTTAATAAACTGCGGTTAATTACATTAATGCGGATTCAATAATTGATTTCATGTTAAGTGATGACTCACGAATCAAAGATAATATATAGCTGCAAAATTTTATTATTCGAGTTTACAATCGCTTTAACCAACGGTCGATTAATTAAATTGGAACAATCCAATTTTATCAAAAGTTATAGATGACCGTTTAATTTACTTAACCAAGGAAGATAAGGGAGTATTGAGAGTGAGAATATAATTTATTTTTGTACATATAAATCTAAAATTTAATCTGTGAATATGATAGAACTTTTCGATCATATTCATGAATTAAATTTTGTATTTATTCAACTTATAAAATACAAATATTTGAAAATGTCCGGTGTTATGACAGTCTAAATTCAATATTTTAAATAATCATTTTCTAGCAATATACAAGCAATTTGTGCCAAATCTCTCCACAAAAATTATCAATAAATGCATCAAATTTTGCGGACGAATTTCAGCAAATTTCACGAACTATGTAGTATTGAATTTCAATAAAATATGGGGTTTAAACGAGGATAAATGAACTCGTTAACGAATTATGAGTATTTTAGAAAATGCATGACGAAATCCTATCCTCCAACCAAAAAAGCAAAAATATCAGTCGGAAGGTGCATATTTTGCTGAAATTATCTATTCTTTACTTCAAATTGTACTGCGAAGGATATCTCAAAAAACTTGAGTGCGTAAGTAAATTTCTAAACTTTTTGATCATTTGCTCAATAATTTCATCGTGTTGAATACATATCCACTTCAGAGCTGAATTGCAAAGTGAATAAAGTGCGAAAAGACGCAATACTCAGAGTAAAAATAGCGCGTAAATCCTTTGAGATTTTATTTGTTGAAATCTCAAGGATAATATGCGATGAAACTAAAAGAGGAAGATGCTACTAATTATGGCATCTTATGAATGACGGCTTAGATAAGATCTTTGAAAATTCTCAAGTTGCTGGTATTTAAGTTTCCTAATTAGTACTCGATCATATTTGTTAAATACAGTACTCAATATCTTTTGTCTTATAGATGATCAAGTATTTTAAATGTTCTTTTTTCTGATGGCACAATCCGAAGACACATTCATTTAAAAGCGGCACATGTCCCCGTGCAGCATTCCGAGAAAGTAAAAGAGGGAGTAAGTGAGTTTGTCGAGATTTTTATCTTATTACACAATATTATTTTTATTAATATTTGCCAATTAATAAAAAACATCCCACTCTCCAATCGCCACAACATTCCCCTCGCCAATTAAAAGAAATAGAAGAAGAAAGTCATTTTTCAAAAAACCTCTCGCAAATTAAAAGAATAAATACAGTGATAGTGGTATTTGTTACTAAAAATTGAGATATCACATTCCAAAGTACATGTAATTGATCCATTATTGTAGAAGTGTGTAAATCAGGGTTGGCAATTGGCCGTTTGGCCAATGGCCAGCGTATTTACAAACAAAAAGTACAAAATACTAAAAAAGCCGCGGAGGAGGGAAATTATGTTAATATTTGGAACTAATATTTTGTATAACGATAATATTTATCGCTATTAGTTAAATTTTAAATACACGAAGTTGATTGTTTGCTAATGTACATGTAGTACATGTACATTATTTTTAAATACATGTGTATACATATCCGGAACTAATCATTTCCACTTTAAAAGGACCCGGGTACTATTCAAGCTCGAATAAATTTAGATAATGAAAAGTATTCGGGTCTGAATCATGGAGGGTATTATTTTGGGTGATACTAAATACATTGCTAATTTGGACATTTCTTTGTAACGACCACCAGGAAAGATCAGGAATTTTATCCCACAAACAACCCAAATTGTTTCTTTCTCAATAACTGTTTGAATTCCAGCTTCGGGGATTCCTTTAATCGACCGATAAGCTTGATTATATGTGTCTAGAACGCCAGATTATCAGTAAATTTGCCAAAAAATTCACGAGAGATGATTTCTTTATACTTACATATGTCATATAATGTTTTGCTTCCCATAAAAACACTTTATCATCAGAAACTAAAATTACTTCCCACTCCATTAGCAGTTTACCTTCCTGATTATACATTACTCGTTTTTATAAATGCATTGCTCTTTCCAGTGAGCGCATTCTGCACAGCCAAGAACGTTTTAGCTGATCCTCGATTTTTTTCGATACAGCTCCCTTCACAGATAATAATACATGTCAACCTTGTGATAAACTAACACGTTTACTTAATGCTTGCTTAAGGTTCCAATTCTATTCAAAGTTTACCAAAGGTGATAAACTTTGTGATAAACTAACAAACCTACATACAGTGGCGATCATAATTAATGCAACAAAAAAAAATTCTTCGTTGAATCGAAATATTTCGCGAAAATTAGAAG